CCAAACATTAATCAAATAGGAACAATTTCACTCAAAGTATACCTAGACACAGGAGAACTATTGTCGTGAAAGTGTTGTACAATTGATTACGAATTTAGATTGCAGAGAGTTTGTTCTGAGCGCTAAAAGCACTCACGATAGAGCACATTTTGCTTTATTCTAACAGTATGCTTCCCTACTCTCGGGGTCGATAGGTTGCGGACGCTGGTTATTCCTTTTTCCAACCCTCCGATACTTCCCTCACGATCTCAGCAATAGGTCGCTTGGGATCTGCTTTGTATGCTTGGAGGACTTTTCGGCAGGCCTTCTTGGCCCAGGTAGTTTGATGGCCTTTGAGGGGACAGGCGTTTGGGGTATGTTCGATTCCTAGAGCAATGTGTAGATCCCTGTTGTGGCACCAAAAGCATTTGGGAGCGGCGTTGCCTTTTCCAGCACCCTTCTTGTTCTTGGCAAGATGTTCCGCTAGTCTCTCCTCCACAAGTGCCTCCAATCAGGAATCCAGGGCCTCTTGGAAGAGACAATTCTCTTCTCTGACGTTGGTGATGGTCTTCTCCGTGATCTTGTTGCTGTTGAAGTTCTTCGCTTGGGCGTCACAAAGGTAGATGTAGTTCTGGAATAGCAACAGTCTTTTGCTGGTGCAGTGGACTCAGATTCTCAGTAGTTTCTTGGAGTGGTGGGAGAGCAGGAGGTAGGCTTCTGACCCTTTCCACGCATCAATCATGCCATCGATTCTCTTCTGCCAGATCTTGTTGATGAGTGTGGTGTAGTTGGTCAGAGTCTCTTGGATAATGAGGCAGAGTAGACTTCGTTCCAAGTAATTGTCTATGAAGCTTCCTGTTCCAATCTTGCAATCTCTGCCGCAATCTTATCCATACGTGTCTGGTATACCTCTGTCTCTCTTTCTGACTCCACTTTGCTCTCCTCCACTCCACTGCTTTGTGGATAATCGTCGTCCAAGAGCCTGACATGATCAAGACAAAGGCGCGCCTCCATTGTTGCCTTTCCACAGACTAAGAGATCGTGTTCTGTCTCCACTGTCGGCCCGATGAAGTTGGCTCTACAGTCAGTATTGTCCAGATGGATGAGATCCTCAATCGCTGGCTCGGTTCCATTCCAGATTTCTTCAGGATCCTCTTCTTCTCATTCAGTGTCTGGTGGTGCTTCTCCGGGGTTTTGTGCCGGTTCCCCGTCAGAAAGGCCAGCATCAAAGTCTGAATCGATTTTGCCATCATGAGTGCTTCGGAAATCGCTCATTTCAGTTTGAATTTCCTTCACGCCGGCCACGGATGAACGGCTTCTGGTTGAATAGGAATGAGAGTGTCCGGAGGTCACGCTGCCTCTCTGTTGGCTCCGGCCGGTACTTGATAGGTCTGAATTGACTGTTTCTACTGGGGGTCTTCGAGCCCGTCCATTTGGCGATAACGCATTGAGAAGACGTCCAAAATCGATGATTTTTGCAAACTCCTGATTCCTCTTATTGATTCATTATATAAATCACTATCCCCCCAGGCGAGTTAAAATTTTCTACGGGTCCGACAGTGTTCAATTGCAAGGTTCAATCTGGATCGATTTGTGTGTTTCTTGCCGAAACTCTGAAGTCTTTTCAGTTTCGCGCTTACGTGTTCACATCTTCTCCAAGTTCAGTACTTTCTTCACGTATGGTAGCTACGCGTCAGATCTTCATTCAAGTTCTTTGCTGGCTACCAGAATTCGGAATTCTTCTTCTTCTTCACTTTCGCAACCTTTCTATACGGTTGGCTGGGTAGAGTCCAGCTTCTAAACACAACTTCCTGTTATGTAGATCAATCTATTGGTGCATACAAGAAGTAACATGCTTTACACAGGGTTTGGAGACATCATTGATTTCAAGTCATCCGTACTGTAAGCTACAGTACTCCTTCGTTTTATAATAGTAATGACCGAGTTTGATTCAACAATTGTTTCGCTTGCTGGCCACTGACAAGTTCGCATTCAAAAGCCATTCTCATCAAACAAAGATTCTACAACAATTCATTATGGAGGACCTTTTCCAGCTTTGGACGTTCCTAACTAAAATAAAACTTTAGATGCAATGCAGAAGTGCCGTTTCTATGCAAAAGGCTGATTGATTGAGTTGCCATTTTTAGTTCTACTAGGGCAGGCTAGCCGCTGAAAAACTGGAGCAATGATACATTATTTAGAGATTTTTCAGCTCCAGAATTGCTGCTAACAAAAAATAATTCAGCTTCTCTTGGCCCATCAACCACTTCATTTCAGGAAGCCCACTCCTATTGCATCATTATTTTGATTGCGTTGGGGAGAAACGGACGACGACCATGGACTCAAAATGTCAATCCCTCAGCCGGTTGTCTCAATCTCCGATTTTGATCAGAACACATTTCCATGCGAATTGATTGCAAGATTTGTTCTATTCCCATGTTTCTGTTCCAGCTGCGCATCGCTTGTAGCTTTTCCTTCTTGACTGTGCCAGTCTTCGAGTCTACGCAGTTCATGTTGATCTTTGATACGAACTTGACTTGAGGAGGAACGGCAGGGTACTGCTCGGAGCAGTGAACTTGCAATTGGTAGAAGCGGCCATCATGGTGGGTCTTTAAGGATGTGTTGTAGAAATGAAATAGGCTTAGCTAAAATCCAATCAAATACAGTAAATCAAGAAATAGCAATACGGAAATTAACATACCCCAGCAGGACCCAAAATGCCTCCATTCCAATCACTCAGAAAAGTATCGCCAGAGTCCACAAGACCGAAGGATATCGCCATATCACCCAAACCTTTTTCACTTTTTTCGAGTTCCTCGAGTAGCTTGAAGTTCCTAGGAACAATAACAGTTTCACCAGCCGGAGTCCGTTGCATATTGAGAAGAATGGCATCTGCAAGACGGGGTAATTTTCATAAATAGTGGCAAGGGGACAGACGGGGTGTCATGGCCAAACAAATTGTTATAAAAAATAACGGTCATGTCGCCTGCATGAAATGTAAAAAGCTCGACTCGAATTTGGATACGATTCAAAGCGGCTACGCAGGCACTGCATCCTCGTCGCCCGGTGATGTGGAATCTGGAATCCACGAATGCGCAATTCTATTTCTCCATGATGGAGAAAAAAAAACTTTATTTCT